CGTCTCGCAATCTTCTGGACACGCACTCGAATCTCGTCACAGAACATGCTCGCTCTCCTTTTCAGCCGTAGTGGTGTTATAATGTGACAGTCAATCTCACTTTTCGTTGGTAAAAGATCAGTGTAACAGTTGGCGGTGGGTGGTGTTGACTAGCCTACTCTCTAGTCTATCACTTCTAAATTGATGAGGCCCGGCATGGCCAGGTGGTTAGGGCGTTCGACTCGCAATCTGCCGGTCGCGGGTTCGAATCCCCGTCCTACCAAACATGCTCGCCCTTTCAGCCGTGGGGGCGTTGTAATGTGACGGTCAATCCCACTATCAGTTGGTAGAAGAGTAGCCCAACAGTTGACGGTGAGTGGTGATGACTAGTTGCCTTCCCTCTAGTCTTTCACTGCTAAATTAGGGACAGCTAGCGCAGCTAGCACTCGAGTAGCTTCGCGCGAAATTCAAAAACAAACAAACCAAATTGACGTCGGCTGGCGCAGATAGTCCTTGAGTAACTAACTAGCGTTGCGTGAAATTCAACAAACTTTTTGTTGTTGTTGTTTTCACGCCACTGTCCTCATTAAAAATTAATTAGATTTATTTGCCATCGATTGAATGTTGAAGCACTGAAAATTAAAATCAGTGTCTTTATAAGTTATATGTCCTGGAATGATTAAACAGCGAGCACAAACCCCAATATTTTAAAGACGAATCGTGTATTAAAAAACGTTATACAATCTGTTGGTCTCCACTTTTCAACGATCTAGTGTTTAGCAATACTGTATTCGTTATTCAAATACTTTAAGTTTACCAATGTTACACCAATAAGTTCCTCATTACTTGTAATAATACAACAGTAATTTTCATAGTTGTATTCCTCACCATTCTTTTTTGGTGTATTAATAGAATTAATTAACCACAAGTTTTGTTTCGGATATTCACGTAAAATTCGGTACACAATAAATACTTGCACTATACATTCGTAATTTTGAACCAAAAAATTACAGGAAAGGCACCTAGTCAACAGCACCCACCGTCAACTCCTATGCTACTCTGATCGAACAGGGAAATTTGACCATCATTTTTATAATACACCCACGGGCCTCCCAATAAAATGAGGAACGCGATTTTACGGCAAAGGAACGTGAACCTTCAACCCTGGTCTACAGGGTTCAACACGCTAACCACTGAGCTGTACGCCTTGCACCATGGTTTTGCTCTTTTCACAATTCGCTACACTGTTTTCTGAAACTAATGCAGTAGAATCCATTTTTATGATAAAAATACTTTGTAAAGTTCTATTTATTTAACAATCAAGAATAACACATTGCTTTTATTCCGTAAGTAACATACGCTACAAAAATAACCGATAAGTAAAAGGAGAAGAAAATAAGGCATTTCCTGTAGTGAGTTTCAACTTTTGGGATACATTGCCACACGTTAAGTTTAATATAAATCTAAGTAACATATGTTAAGACTAAGTTTGCCAAGGATGACCCATCAAGAGGCCTTCAACGGATTGCTTAGTGTGACCTGTCAAGACGACCTATCTGAGCGATTGTTGTTCGGGAATATGTACTAGAGGCTGCACAGAGGTACATAGGCGTATCTGTTTCCTCTCTAGAATCCAACGTCCCAAACCAAAAACACGTATTTATTGTAATGCAGGTCGATAACAAGATATATTTTTTATGAGAAAACACGTGAGACACTTGGTCAATACATAGCTGTGATTGGCCGTAAGAGACGCACGTGGATAGATGTTTTTTTTATGAGTTTTATGCAAAAAGAAAAAAAAGACTTATTGATCACACAGTAGAAAAATTTACATGACCTCGACAGACAGTTGTTAACAATTCACCTCCACCATCTTTATTCTAAGCGGCATAGTTAGCTCCATGCGAGTCCATAGTCATATGGACTTAGTACTTGAACTTTACAAAGAGCGTTGAAACGCTCGTGATACAGTCAGTCGAGTGTATGAAAACTTGTGGCCGAAGGTATTTCTTCGTAATGGTGTCTGAAGCCAGAGGCAATGCCACGTGCTTTAATTTCCCACCTCTGAGTTGTTTAGCAGTGCCCTTTCAATTTGCTAGGTTGTGTTCGAGGGCTTAGCAGCCGAGTTTGTTCGAAACCTAGCAGCCGTGCCCAAGATGCACATTTAAAACCCCGTAGGCGTCTCGTATCTAACAACAAGCAAGACATAAAGAGAGTCTACACGCGGTGTAAAGGCATGGAGTTAGTGCTGCAAGCTTTCCATTTTTCTCGCCAGGACAGCGTTCGAGCGAGCGCTCCAGATTCATCAGTGAATCGTCAATTTTCCTGACAGCAACTATCTGGCTGTCAACTATCGCAGTTTCAAATGTTCGAACAAATATACATCTGCAGTTATTCGAAAATAGGTTTGAGATTAGTAGTTATTTTTAACGTTATATTTCGATGTTGATGATGTAATACGGTAAGTATGAATAAGTTTCTTAAAACTGTTGTGTTGTAAAAAACAAAATCGGGGCAATTTGTATAAAACCCGATCATCATCGCTTTCAATGATTTTTCTCACCCGAAAATTGCTTCGCTTTTATTACACAGTAGCGGTTCCAAAATGATTGACGACAAAAAATATACACCACAGATTATTAATAAACTTCTATTATTACAGTAACCTCTATAAACTAATTATTTTTTTTCTAAAACTAACTAACAATTTTCACAAAAATTGACTTTAAAATTAAAGTAAGTGCCTACGGCTGAAAACATATGGATAGGTCTGTTTTTCAAATTTTGTGAAAATGGAAAGGAAGACAGACACTCTACATCACTACCTTGTTGGGTTTCTTCTACAATGATTTATGTCTAGTAACATAGTTTTCACGACAAAACTGTCGTTCCTTCTAATTAAAAATATAAACATTAACTTATCTTAACGTGTATTGTCTATGGTGTCATGCAACAAGTTTGAATACATTCGTCATACCCACTGACAAAAAGAAAAACAACACGATTTATTTCATAGGTAGACTACCCATGTTCTTTCACATTTTTATTTGCATGTGTTACAAAGTGGTGGTTTATGTTTTTTGTATGCATATTACCGAGTGAATGTTTCACGAAAACGATTGTTTCAAATGTTTTTGTGATTTGTATGCTAAAAACATAAAAATTTATCCTGATTCTAATAGCTTGTGTATGAAAAAAAAAAAAAAACATCTGGGGACTATCATGTATAAAAGTAACAAAGCATTTATGAAAATGCTAAGACAGATTTGTTTTCTTAAACGAAAATTATCAAATGTTAGTGAACGAAAAGTTTAATGATTCGTTTTTCAACACTGGTAAATCACTTTTGTTTTATTAGTAAAAACACAAAAAATAGCATACACATTTTTTTTTTGCTTAACAATAAATTCTGACTGTTTTGAAGAAAAAAGTACGATCTACTAACACGTACAAGAGCTGCTGAGAAAAGGTTAAAAATTCTTCGATTACCGCTTGCAACGGAATAACTAGACCATACAATATGTTTTTTTAGGCATAAAAGTGTTTACGGATCAGCGATTTCTGAAACTTTTAAAACAAACTAAAAACGAAATACAATAATTTGGATAAACCAAACTTTGTTCTATCCAATATACGTTCAATAAAATATGCAGTGCTTTTTACGTCAATATAAGAATTTCTGCGTTACTCTGTTTAACAAAAGTTGTAGAGAATATTCCTAAATATTTTGCTTAAAGATTCCAGGTATACATTATAACATGAAAAACATTGGAAGTAACTATTTCACTAAATATCCAGTAAAACCGAAAATATGGGATATTTAAATAGACATCAACAATAACAAAAAATCTTCTAACAAAAAAAAATCTAATTGCTAATTATAATGATTTAGACATGGTAAACTCCAGATACTTTTTTTTTCTCGTTTTATGTTACCTTTTACCTTAGCTAGGCTGTTGAGTAGGTAGGTAAAGTGTTCGACGTTATTTATTTGTTACTCTTTCCTTTGCGAACGCTAAGGCAAACATAAAATTACTTAGTGTGCATCTTGAACAAAAACATTCACAAAAAAGAGAAAATCAAACACTAAAATAAACATAACAAAGCTAGAGTTGCCATAAATATTTGAAATCTTACATTTTGTTTGTCCTAATCGATTTTCATAACCAACAACAACAAAAGGTGATTTTAAAGACGTTTTGTAATAAGGCATAAATTACGAAACATTTATATTGAGACGTAAGTAAAGAAAATTATTCTAAAAACTGTATTATTTTTCACAAGGCAATAGTAAATATCCATGCTGTTTTATTAAATAAATCTACCGTGAAATATTTAAGATATTGTAAACGATGTGGCTGCTGCTAATTTTTATAATCTATTCTTAATAGGACAGTTGTGTGTTCCAGAAAAAGGTGTTTCAACATACCGAAAAGCCTAACAAAATTATCATGCTTTCTCGTTGTTGACGTTTGCAACAGAACGAGCAACGATAATATTTTATCGAACATGGTTGATATTGGCGATACGTTATTTTGGTTATATATGTCGAAAATAAATCTGAGTATTAATATTATCTTTTACTAAAAACAAAACTAACTTTCTGTTTTATTTCTTTTTTTTTCTATTCACATTATTGAAACATTAATTTCTAAGCGATGCAATAATGAGTAGCATATAACGTTTTTATTTAAAACAATTTTGAAGGGGAACAATTATGCACTTTACGAAAACAACATTAAAAGTCTTTGTTAAAGTTGTTTGAATTAATTTAAGAGTAGTGGGTTTCGTATTTTAAGAAAAATTTTGTCTTTATATTTATACCTTCCTTTTATTTGCCAATTCACTTATTGCAACAACGTAAGTAATTATGGTGTTCAAACTAAGTAAAACCCTATTTTTTTTTTATTAAAACACTTTTAATCGGTTGTTTTTACATGAAATTGGCCTTAATGATAATGTGCATAATGTTTAATATAGTTAACACCCCAAAAGTCTTTTAATTAAGTGGTACTTACCAAGTTCAGGGTGGTTCTTTTGGTTCAACGTTTTAAATCATTCTTTGAACTATCCTTTCTTGAAAAAAACAGAAAAAAGTTCGTTCTTCCCGGTCAGTTCGTCATTCTAACCTAGAACTTGACCAACTCAATATGACTTTTGAATTGTTGTATCTTTTGCAATACTCAGTCAAAAATGGCCTCCAAACACTAGTTCCATTAATAATATGTTATTGTTCACTTATTTTTATTACATTTAGTTTCGTTAACATCAAATAACATCAGTGGTTGCATATAATTCTTGTATTATGTTCGTGTCGAAGGTCATACTATGTAATTTTGATACTTCAAGCTTAACAGAAACACGGCCATTATGGCGAGTTGGCAGTTAGCCAAGTGTATGTCTTGAAAACGTAAATGTGCAAGTGAGGCCGCTTTCGGGTATTTATGGCAGCCAATCAAGTTCGGTCTCTTCCCGCGCCTCATCTACAACACTGCGAACTCACAACGAAAGCTACAATATACGGTGCCACGGTTTTGAATATTTCGAAACTTGGAATGTGCTGATCCGAATGTGATTCAAAGACTAGCATCATGTAAAACAGTCTATTATACTAAATAAACTACATTTTGTTAGAATTTTTGTATTTTATTTTTTGTTGGATTGTGGTTTCTCGATTTGGTTAGATGAATTAAAAGGTAAGTAATTAATCTGAAAATACTACGTTAGTTGGTTAAATCCCGATTTGTTTTCGTGCTGCTGACTCGGGCTATCCAACATTTAGTAATAATATGATTTTATGCCTGTAATATTATTTTGAAATATCTAGATATGAAATGTTATTCCTGAGCGCTGTCTGAAAGCTAAGGATCGTGGGAAAAATCATTGTCTTTAACATAAACAAGTCAGTTTAGTCAAAATTTGTGCCTAAACTTAGCACTTACGTTTTCGTAACATTGAGAGTGGCACTAAATAATTTGGTTAATTCGAATGACATGGCTGATGACAGGGTACGCAGTCATCAAGGCTTATTTTCGTGTGTTACCAATTTTAAAAGAGTGGTGATATATATTTTTATGTAGGACTATTTACATATCTGTTCCCGTCGTAATCATTAACGTACGGCAAACATCTGCATGTCGTAGACTAGAGCAGCTCATTTAAATATTAGCCTATTTGTTGTTTATGTTCACTAGTACATGTAGAACGTATCGAAATTCACCAAAAAATATAGTTGTGGTATTTCAAGTAAAACTAAGGGCTGTCGAATTCATATTGGAAAAGTTGTTTAAAAATTTCTTGTAAACAATTCCAATATTTTCACCTTCGGGGACATCATGTTTTTATTGGTCGATTGACCATACCCTGAAGCTGAATGTAGAGACCTATGTAGAGCTGACCGTGAGGAAAAACTGGCTCATCTAAGTGCAACACCGACAGACAGACATCCTTTTTCCCAAAATATTATTAATATTACATTACGCAACATAGATGAGTTAGATGATTTTCATCAAACATAGAAAATTATTTTAATAGCAGTTAGAAATTTAAAATAATCTATTTTGTTTTAGAATTTTGACAATTTCTAAGAAATATTATTACATTGGTTGTTCAATACTGCGCGACTACGTGTTCGATAGACTTAACTATCTAATACCAGTTAATTTAAAGCGTATTATATATATATATCAGTAAATTTTATATTAGCAAATGGTGTGTAATTCATCCAGTCAAACCAAAATAAGCTTTTGGCTAGTTGAAGGTATACTGATCATTGTTGGTGAGTAAAATTTCCTGTTTTACAAGTCAGTATAATAAACTCTTAATTTGTTGTCTCTTACTAGCCAGATTTGTTCATTTTACCATAAACTACAATAAATATATTTACGGGTGATTTTGTTTACACGCATGCTAAACTTTATTTCGGTGAAATATTACTGTTTATTGAATAAAATCCCACTAAATATGGTTGCTGAACTCATCCGAAGAAGCTGGCATGATCTTGCCGTGTGACAAGCTGCATTAACCGGGAGCGCTTGCCGCGTCCACAGTTGTCTTTGAGTTCGTATGACGGCCGGCTTTTGCGCGTGTCAGAACAGTTTCTCTGTATGTGTGTGTATTTATTTCTTGTGTGCGCTTTTCAAGGACGGCTTCGCACGTTCCAGGAAATTGGGTATATACAGTTATTTTTTGTTAAGGAAAAAGAAAAGAAAGAACAAACTCCCATTTTAAACTGAATTAGTAATAAAAGGGCATTTTCATTAATGTATGCTTTAATAAAAGTTCTTATCACTTTGAAAATGGAAAGACGACTAATTGGCAAGTGAAAAGTTGATAGGTGCTACGTTTTTCTGTATAGCTCGTATTATTTTTTTTCATTAAACGTGATTTAATTGAAGTTATTTTATCTTAGCGATTAAGGAATAGGATTTGTTTAACACTTGTAATAATATCAGTATAATATTACCAGTAAAATATATAATACCATTATTATTTGAAATACAAAATACATGTATGTTTTTTTTCTGCCATGATAAAAGTTCTCAGAAACACCAACCGATGTTTTGATACGATAATTATATAACTTCACCTTGCTCTGTGGTTGTTTTGCAAGGCTTAGTTTTTTGTTTGGCATACTTGTTTTGTTCGTATTTTGATACAAGCGCCATATTTCAAATCACGGTCTTTGCATTTTCGGTTGTTCTAAGATTTACAAGTTACATTGCAGAGTTCAATGTTCAGTTCGTAGTAGTTAATTAATAGTGGAATTTGTTATTACGTGTTTAATGTCATTTAGAGCAGCGGTTCTCAAACTTTTTCATCTTCGTACCACTTCGGCTGGGAAAAGACTCTGCGGACCACCTAACGGTCCTACTCCACCAGCTTTCGCTTCCCGCTACAAAAAACTCATCAGTGACTTGCATTTTATACCAGTCCTCGCACTACCTGGAGGACTCTCGCGAACCACACTTTGAGAACCACTGATTTATGGCTTCTGTTGTTTCACATTTCAGCATATGTCTTTCACAAAGTTTTATTCTGATATAAATGCAGTTATTAAATATTGGCACACTATTTTTAAGCTGTTTACGCAGATTATAAGTTTATGGATTGGGATGAGACTAGTCATTACTCTCTTCCTAGGCTTGTGACCCTTCTTGCACTAACACTAACAGTGATACAAAATATTCAATAAAACATTATCATGTTGCATATTCCAAACGATAGAAGAAAAAAAAAGACTTACGGTTGTTGCTAAGTTATAAAATGGGTTGTCCAAATGATATTTTTTGGCGATTTTAACTTTCTATGAAGTATTTGTAAGTGTACTCCAGTTTCTGTGAATTATAGTGTGCTCTGCTATATCATACGTTTAGGAACTTAGTTTTAGGGTTAAGAATAGGAATACTCAAGAGTATCACCTTTTCCTGAGAAGTATGGTTTTCTTTTCCAGTGAAAAGTTTTAAATAAAAGGCATTTCATTCAGTTGGATCGTCTCTAACTTCTAAGGCGCGTTTAAGCAACTTTTATTGCACTAATTATATGTAGTGAAATTATGAAAGGAACTTTTTTGTAGCCAAACCCGAACGTAAGTGATGCAAATTTTAGTTATTACATACATGTTGCTGTTATAATTTTGTTAAAGTTTTTAAACACACATTCAAATGGTGTTTAAACTGTTTCGTAAATTGTTAGAATATATGTATCGATAGTATACTGTATTTATTTGAAAACTTAAAAGTGTAAATGCGTTTTGATATTGAAATATATTTGTAAATTATGGAATACAGGAAAGTATCGTAACATATTCCTGCGAATTACTATTTTTTTATTGCTGGAAAACTATTTCTAGTGTTAATTAGTGAACGCTACATAATATCCCTCTATTTTAAGTCGTCTTGGGAACTAATGAGGACAATATTAAACGCCTTTACAAGTTAATGTCATCAGTGTTATCAAAAAACATCTTTCTTTTTTTTTTTTTCGTTTCAACCGAGTCGTACCCTGTTCGTAAACTGAATTGTCTGTTAAGCCAGTCTGCCACTCTTGCAAATATGAATAATTACTATATTCCTGCCAGGCCGTCGTCCTTTCTCTAAGTCTATCAGAAGCCTCGTCTTTGTATGCTGCTTTGTGTCTCGGTTGCCGAGGACGTCCTGATGTAGCGCCGACAACATTACTGTTCAGCCGGGAGCCGTGCTTTGATAATAGGCCGGGTACGATAATCATCCTGGGATATAATAGTATCAATATACAATTACAGTATGCTTGTAGTTTTACCTTTTCATCAACGCCAACAGAAAAGGTGTGATTCAGACATAGGTTGTAACGTTTCTTCTTTTTTTTTTTTCGTAATTTATTTTACTAAGGTTGCCCTTTGAGAGAAGAAATTGACAAAATATGATTTATCTTTTTCATCAACTTTTATTCTTAGATTTAACTATTGTGAGGTTATAGTCTCACCTACTTTGTGCAGTATTGAAAATAACTTATTTGTATATATATATATATATATATTGAAGAGAAATAACGAACGATTATTTTCCTTACTTTTACTTTGGTCATTTATATATATATATATATTGTTTATTTGTAATTAAGCACAAAGCTACACAATGATCTGCCCACCACGGGTATCGAAACCCGGATTCTAGCGTTGCTAGTCCGCAGACATACCGCTATGTCACTGGAGGTATATATATAACTGCACAGGTTAAGTAGCTCCGTTTTATAAAAATGTTTTTAGACGTATTGTTTCTGCAATTCCTTGTACATACCTATTTTCATTATATTCTGATTAAACTTACCTGAATATAAAGAAACTGGTTTAGTTGGTTAAAAAAAGGCCTAAGACATCAAAACACAAAACGAATATTTAAAAGCTGTAATTTTTGTATTCTCAAATGTATATATATATATCGATATAAGTTCAGTACCAAGAACATCTATATATATGTTTAATCTTAGTCTTGAACTTTTTACATCCTTAACATAGGCGTCATAATACGATTTTTTTTTTCACAGCCAACAAAACCGCTTGTCAACTGTAATGTATGTTGGCATTGCCTGGTCAATAAATCTAGGTATTTGGAAAGAGTTTTAAGAGTGGTTCACCACTGCTCAAAAGATCAGTTCATATCAAGGTGTTGGAAAGTGTTTTAGTTGCTCTTATAATAGGAAGGTTAACGTTCTTAATGTTTTGTGATTATGTGAATGTTTAAGGTAATAACTTTTGGTATTAGTTTAAGAGCTCTGTGTTTCCAAAACGCTGAAAAAAACAACAACTACATATTCAGATACGGTAAGTAAGACGCTAGAATCTATCATTGTTGCATGAGTTGTGAAGTTGAATGACTGTCATTGTGTTAGAATAATAAATATTTGAGCAACAAACTTCTCAAACATAAACGGGTAAGTCAAAAACTCATGTAAT